GAGACAGCACCGCTGGTAGGTCCACGCGCTCCTTTTGGTGATGAGTAGCTATTTGGGAGCAGAGGAAGCCCTGAGTGAGTGAAGCCCTCAGTGAGTCTATGCTGTTGGCATGGCTGTGAGCTCCAGGGCTTGGGCTCATGGGAAACTGGCAAAGTCATTCCTCATGTGGGCCAGGCTCAGGCAAAGCCTTGCTCTGTCCATGGGTGAGTGTTGTGTTGATTGATTAGGTATGTACAAAAACTAGGACCGGCAGCTTCCTCCTCTTCCTGGGTGTTTACAGCTTGAGAAGTTTGCACACCCTTCCTAACCCCAGACTTTCTGTACATGTGTCTGTCTGTCCTTTCTTCATTCCCTTGTGCCTCAGTCAGGGTTCCAGGACCCAAGCCAAGTGGGGCGAAGCGTGACCAACCATTTCTTTTGTCTGAAGACCACCCCAGGGTCTCTCTTCTATCAGTACAATTTAAAGCTAGGCACTGTTATCGAAGGAAAGTGCTTTGGGTTAAGATTTATTATTGTCACGTTTCACAAGCTGTAGATTACATAGGCCAATCAAGAGAAGGTAAAATTAACGTGGGGTGTGGTGGCACGAGCCTTTAACCCCAGTATTCTGGAGACAGAGGCAGGGAGATCCCTCCAAATCTAAGTCCAGCCAGGGTGACATAGTAAGGCCCTGTCTCTAACTAAGTAATGAACTAACTAAGTAACTAACTAACTAAAAGGCGCAATGGTGTACTCTTGTGGCTTCCCTTTTCTGGAGCTTGGATCTGCAGGGAGAACTACACCTTCCAATGTGCTGTGTGCTGGGTAAGCCCCTCAAGTCCCGGTCCAAGCATAATGGTGTTTGGAATTAGCTCTTAGAGACTGATGAGTTCCTGTGAGAGGCGCCCTCACAGATGTGACTGGTGCCCATATGAGAGACTAGTCCTTTTCTTCTGTCCCTGCTCCTCTCCTACCTGCTTTGTGAGATACAATGAGAAGACAGCATTTGCAGAGAAGAGAGGTCCCTCACCAGACACAGCAGCTATGGGCACCTTGGCCTTAGACTTAAAGGTCTCCAGCATTGTTTGAAGTACAAGTTGCATGGTCTGTGACATCCTGTTCTGACAAGTGCAAACTAAGGCAATGAAGGAAGGCATGAAGAAGCTAAATTGCTGAGATATCCAAAAGAATGTTACCGTCTCTGTCCATTCCCTTTCAGCTCAGCACCTGTGCTTGGGTAGCTTCGGTGGGGAGCCATAGTACCCTACTGAGGTTTCAATCCATCTGCCTCTGGTGGGAACACTAATGATCCCTTCTGTGTTTTCTTCACAACCTTCCCCCCATCCTCTTCTTGGGGAAGAGTGTTGGTTGGTTAGAAAGCAGCAGCTACCAGTCCACCCTTCCTCCTTCAGCCTTAGGCCCCAAGACCAGACTCTCACACCAGTGAGTCAGAAAGGGTCCTGCAAGGATGAGCTGTAGATTCTCAGTCACCCAGTCACTGGGTACCAGAAACCTTTGAGTGTGTGGGGTGCTTACTGAAAAAATCCTGTCAATGTGGGGAAGTTTCAGGAGAGCTAATTAGTCCCTGTCAGCACAAGTCAGTGAGAAAGAGCCCTGGCAGGCCCCAGCAACTCCATGGTGAGTCATTGCCTTAAGCGAGAGTATGAATATGAATGCAGAATTACCTGGAGCTGCTCATTAGCCAGACATCTCTCCCTGAGGTAAAAGCTAAAGTGCAGGGCTGGGGGCAGAGCTCAGTGTAGAAGGCTTGCTCGGCTTGCATGTGCAAAGCCCTGGGTTCCACCTTCAACTCTGCAAAACCCTGGGACAGCTCGGGAGGGAGGCCCACCAGGTTCTCTCTGAAGCCTATGGGAAGACCACTGTCCTAACTGACTTGCTCATTCACTAAGAAATTTCTGACAGGTGTTGGAGGTATAAGGAGTACGGTTCAGCACAGTCCAACTGGGAAGCATTCAAAATAGACAGCGGCTCTGTAGGGAAAACACCAATTCGGTGTGTAGGTATCTCATGGCTTTGCCTAACAGCCATGTGGTATCAGTTTAGGAAAGGTCTCTTCCTGGAAGGATTCCATTCAGCACGGATGCATGAGAGCATACTGACTGGGTTAAGACTCAGATTCCAGCAGATGACCCTTGGCACTTACCAAGACGATGGGATTTCTAACAGGACTGTGTATGCATTGTTCCCCAAAGCCACCTGCCAATACTTGTGAAATACAAACAGGTATTTCCTAACACCCTCCATTCAGGTTTTACTTCTTACCCCCCCTCCTTTTTTTTTAAACTTATTTTCAGTGTTTGACCCTTCAGAATCTCAGACTCCTAGGAGCTATGTTGACACGGAAATGACTCAACTTTTCTCAATCCAAAAAGTCTTATTTTATACAGTGTTATCTTCTACCTCCACACCAAAAACAGTACAACAATGACAGGAATGAAAAAAAAAAAGTGTTTACAAGGAAAACATTGTTGTTCAATTGAGATAGCAGCTTCTCCGGTAAGTCCTGATCTCATTTCGGCCTCTGTGGGTAAAGGGGAGGGCTTTCCTTTAAGACGGCCAGGATGGAATGCTCACCTTTAATATCAGCACTTGGTGAGGCAGAGGAAGGTGTTGTCTATGAGTTCAAGGCCAGCCTGGTCTACATTTGAGTTCCAGGCCAGGCTACAGTGAGACCCTGTCTCAAAAACAACCTAGAATAAATTGGATGTGATAGCTCACACTCACAGAACTAACAACCTTGGTGAAGTACGGTGTAGAAGACTGACTCAAAGCTGACAGGAGTAGTGACAGAAGCAACAGCACCCTGTAAATCCTCAACTCGCCTCAGCCTCTCACCTGGGTCCCTTGATCACCCTTCGCTCCTGATGATAGATCCACCCAGTGAGTCAACACACACTTGGAACTTAAATGCCTTAAAAGTGGCATCGAGGCTTCTACAGATGCGGAGTACTGCTTTACCCCGCACAGGCCAAGAGAGCTGTGGTCAGCACTCTGTAATCCAGCATCTTGGAGTGTTTACTGCGATCCAAAGCATCCATGCCAGGTTCTGCTACCCGAGACCAGGTGACTGAGAACTGAGGGATCATTGACAACTTCATACTTGCTTGTGAAGCTAAAGAGAAACCAAAACCAAAAACAAAGGGAGGGCTCTGCAGGACCTGGAATTTTCTGATAGAATTCTGCTTCTAATTGTTTTTTTACTGGCATAAGCCACAATACTTTCCCAAACCTTCCAGGTAGAAGTGCTTTCAAATTATTTTGGGGGCTGCAAAGAGAGCTCTGAAGGTAAGAGTGATTGCTGTACTTGCAACAGATTCGAGTTTGGTTTCTCGTACCCACGCTGGCAGCTTACAAGTGCCTGTAACTATAGCCCAAGTGGATCAAACGCCCTCTACTGGCCTCCACAGGCACTTGTTCTCACATGTACATACACAAACAGACACACATTCGTAGAGTTAAAAACAAGACTGTTACAAAGTTTGTCTGTAGTTGGCTCTGCAACCACTCCAGCATTATTCAGTTAGCCATCTTACCGTAAGACAATATTTCCATGGAAACTTATTCATATGTAAGTGCAATAGCTAAACAAATGCTATAAACAGCCTCCCATGTATTTAGATTAGGTCTTGCCACCAAGTAGTTGGCACCTAACCAAGGGAACACTTTTGCTTTTAGGAGAGATTTTAGATTTGTAATTACAAACAATAAATTTGGATTTCTGTTTGTGTATTTCTCCAATTCAAGAGCTGGCTTACATTTTCAGCACCAACTTCCTCAGGTGACTTGTGTAGATACAATGTTGACTTGAGGTATTCTTTTCATGCATAAAATGTTACCTCTAATCAAATCATCATGCTTATTTGTGTCTGTCATCCTCCTCGTAGTTATACTGATTTTGATTCTCCTGCCTCAACCTCTGGAGTTCTGGGATTACAAGCAAGCACCGCCATGCTGTGCTACTGCAGTGCTAGGTCAGAACCTGGGGAGTCTTGCCTGCTCGGCAGCCACTCTGCCAACTGAGCTACAGCCCTTTGATAGGCTTTTCAGGCATAGTCTTTTTTCTGTGAAGATTTTTATTGATATTTGCCTGACCTTCAGGAGTTATCCATCAACAAGCTTCTTAGAGCTTCCAGCAGGAGAAACTAGTCTGGCTAAAGTAGAGGAGACACAATGGGAGCCTATGGAACTAAAGACACAGTGGGAGAGCAGTGCCTGACAACAGCGTGGAAGAGAGACCTAGTTCTATCAAGACTTCTGACCTCTGCCTTTGAAAATTCCCAGGGGCTGGGTGAAACCAGTCCCCGTGTCAGTGTGGGGCTGCATGTGATCCCGTGGGCACCACTTGTCTGGAGGACAGCGGGACACGTCAGACCCATCCTGCTCAGGAAATGGCATCGCTGCTGCGGGAACGGTACCTGCAGATCCAATGGCAAAACAAGGCCTCCCAAACAGTCTTTTAGGTTTCCAAATATTTTCTGAACATCCTTCCTAATTCCTAGTCTTTAAAGGGCGGTGTGAAGCCTTTTAAACACTGCTGACTGATGGGTGAATTGGTTTTCAGCTTACTCTATTTCTGTAGGCAGGTTTTGGCTCTTCTCAACATCCTGAGCATAGTGACTATCAGTGTTTGCCGCTACGCTCTATTTTGACCTGCTGCAACACATGAGTTTTTTCCCTAAGGATGGCTTAGGGAATACATCTAGCCAAGGCTACACAGGTGAAAGGAAGCCTAATGTTGGAAACCATATCAGTGATCAACCATCCATCTGCAACTCACAAAAAAACCAAGTATATGTACCAAGGACCAAGAAAATGAAGAGGGTGAATGAAGAGTCTTCCTTTGCTCATCAACTGCTTAGAAAACAATTAAAGGCTATTACAGCCTTCTGTAAAACTATATATCATTAAGTGGCTTTTGGAATCGTGAGGAACACTGTAGGAGGAATCTCTGATGTGAGCACACCACCTCAGCTTGAAGTTTGAACACACAGAGTTCTTACCTGGTACTCATATTCAGTGAAAGGCAGTAACTCTGAATCCACAAAGGAGCTTGAGCTTCCGTTGTAGGTCAACAATGGACTGGACTTTCTGGGCCAAGTTGTTATTTGTCTTCTGTACAATTCAAAGCTTATGATTTTTCCATTTGGCTGGAGTGGTCCTGCCCACCACACAGCTACCACGGGCTGGAATCCCCCTGCAGCCGTCTGCACCTCCAGATGCGGGGCCGGTTGCATCAGAGGTGGGATTTCTCTAGTCTGGGTAGATGCCCACTCGCTGGAGGCACATCCGAGGCCAGTGCAAGCTTGGATGCGCATTTCATACCTACAGGAGACAAGGCAGGATCACAAATGATTCTTAGGTCTGTCTGGGACAATTTTATTTTAAGGAGTACATGTTTTCAGAAGGAAAAAAAAGAGTTTACATTTATTTGTATGGTCAGCTAGCTTTCAGATAATAACAAAGTCATTTTTATGAGAAGTTCTGAACATTTCGATCTTCCAATTTTCAAACACAAAGAAAAGACCTTCATCTGTCTGGTGAGTGTCAGCTCTTGCCTAAAAGGAGATGCATGGAGTAAAGAAACTCCTGGTCTCTCTAGCGTGAAAATTCTTGCAGCCTTGCGCATGTCCCAGACGGAGTCTCCCTCTCTGTGCAGCCAGGGCCAAGCCATTCCCTGGGAATGCCTTCGGATTATGAAGGGGCAATGCCAAGTTACTGTCTCCATGGTAATGAATCTTCTCACCTGATACCTGACATCTTAAAACAGGATTCCTTACCTCACACGAAGACCTCTGGGGGGCAAAGTTAACCCCCTACACACTAGATTATCCATCACACAGACACCTTATCACTACCCAGTCAAGCTCTGCTAATCAATTATGTTTTGCCTTATAGCTTGTATCTACCTCTCTGAAAGGTTGGATTTCCATAGCAGAGCCTTTTGCAACACAAAGGCCCTTGGTTAGTGCTGAGTGCCTCTGGCTGCCAGGAGCCCCGTGGACTTCATGACACACCAATGTTCTCTCAAGCAAGGCGCTACTTTTATCCCTCTGAAAGCCTCTGGATCCGGTTGTTTCTGCTCTTTTTCTACTTCCTTTCCTTCTGTCCCTGTGTTCTGCTCTTGCTTGCTTTCTGTTTTGCATGTTTGCCTTCTTAATTATGCTTTTCATTTCCTTTGTGACTCTGTGATTGTTAGTGTGAGCTGTCAGCTTGACAGGATCTGGAAACACCTAAGTGAAGAGCCTCTGGGCACACCTTCGAGGGATCATTAGCTTCTGGGCATGCCTATTCGGGATTGTGTTGAGCTCACTGAGGTGGGAAGAGTAGGTAGTATCATTTCCTGGGTTTGGGTTCCCAGACTCAACATAAAAGGGAGAGTGAGTTGGGCACTGGTTCACCTCTCACTCTGCTACTTGGCTCTGGATGCCATGTGACCAGCTGCCCTCAGCTCCTGCTGCCATGACATCTTCATCTGTAAACCCACAGAAGCCCCTCCCCCACTAAGTTGCTTTTGTCAGGGTATTTTATCACAGCAAAGGAAAATGTGACTAAAATAGACTTCCATTCATCCCCTTCTTCCTTCCCAATTTCATTCATTCTTTCACTCTCCCTCCTCTCCCCCCTCCCTCACGCATCTGCCGTGTGTGCCGTCAGTTGCTCCGTGAGCAGACCCACCATTGTGTATGGTGGGCCAGACTGATAAGCAAAGCTGTTGGGTCAGTTTTGATTTTGCACACAGGAAAGCTTTTTCTGGATTATCTGTGGCTAGTTTTAAAGTCCTGGGTCAAGTGAGGGGTGGTGCACCTGGCTTGGCAGAATGCTTACTTAACGAACAGGGCCTAGCACTGCTTCAGCTGAGCAGGGCTGTCCAAGCCTGTAATCTCTGCATGGAGGAGGACCAGACATGCAAGGCCAACCCAGGCTACATGAGACAGCATCTTAAACAAAACAATAAAGCTGTTAGTGGCACAAGCCTGTAATTCTAGTACTTGGAAGATGGAGGCAAAGGGATGGATCAGGAGTTGAAGATCATCTTTGTTGATATAATGAGTTTTGTCCATAGTGAGCTACCTGAGACCCTTTCTTAAAAGCAAAAGCAACAACAAAATCAAATAAAGTCCTGGGTCACTTTCTCTCTGGTTCTAGAAGATTGTCAAACTGCTTCTGACTGACCAGCCTGGGTGCTCAAAGATAGACACACTCATTTTCCCAGTGTCTAGTAAATATTAATATGATTTCAAACTCACAAAAACAAAAAGGACAAGAAATCAACAGATACAGCTTTGATACTCTGCTGTATTTCACCGTGTCGGAGCTTTAACTGTTAAAGAGAACCCTGTCTCTCCATGCATACATAAGTGTCCTTACTAGGATCACCACATTAGTCTTTTTATATATTTATTTTCTCTAGAAAGGGTGTTACTTTGATGTCTGGGAAGCCATTTTCTCTAGAAATCCTTTTAGATATCAGGGCTCAAAGGGGCGGGGGGGTAAGATGGAAATGATTTTGATTCTTGTGTTGCAGTCACGAGGAAGCTCTGACAAAATGCAGGGTTCCTCACCAACATGGGCTCTTTAAGTGTCCTCAGTAGCGTGAGATAAAAGCCAACTCACATAGCATGTAGATTAGCTGTGCAGAATACCTGAAGAGCTTTTAATTACTGTTTAATATTTAATAGGATGCTAAATAATTGCCCTGAGTAGATGCATAAGACCATGACTGCTTCATTCAAACAGCACTATACACCAGAGATGGCCAGGGCCGTGTTTAATCTACACACCAGGACATCATAGTTATAGCCTGTTTACCTGTGCTGGCTGGACAGCAACACTTCAAAAGAACTTCTAAAAGTGATTCTGTTCATTTTACTAAATTTCACACACACACACACACACACACACACACACACAGCATGTGGGGATGCAGGGAGCTGAAGTGGGACGGGGGAAACGTTCAGAGCGTCTGAAGCTGTAGGAAGTGTGTTGGTGTAGAACACCTTGCACGTCACAGAAGCGGGATCTAGAACAGCACCTACCAACAAAGTGTTGTCATCTGAGCAGTCATGAGTTCAAGACTGAGGGAGTTCTGCAGCGGACGCAGAGCTCAAAGACTCCGCTGTCCAGGGAGAGATGCTCGATTTGAATACTGAAGGACTAGCTCCTAGACAAATGCTCATACAGTATGTTTCTGGCCGGTGCTTTTTAGGGGTGTGTGTGTGTGTGTGTTTGGAAGCTAGAGTAAAGCCACATTACTTTTTGAAAACAGGGTCTCTCCCTCAATCTGGAGCTCCCTGACTTGACTAGTCTGGCTGGCTGGTACCCTGATGGCCTCGGCTCCACCCGCCATGTGCCTACCAACGTGAGGTCATAGGAACAAGCCAATCTGTTTACGTGTGTGCCGTCGGGTTTGGCTCACGGGTGCTTTGCCCATGGAGCTATCTCTCTAGCCCTCCTTCCCACCCTAGGTGTTCAGGTCCTGCAACTCAGTTGAGGGGGATTACCCTCACCTCCTCACGATCTACTCCAGATGACAAAGTGCTCACATTTCTGGAAAGCTGGAATGAAAAAATCACAAGCAAGAGGTTTATTCTCCAGAGGCTGGGCAAGCCGGAGGACGGGAGGAACCAACCTCATGCATCTTGCTTTGGGAGCCTCACTGGCATGGACAGACTACCATGGAAAGGACAATATCTTGCTTCCAGAAAACCCAGCCTGGCTACTTACCTATGGAACGGCTTCAGGTGCTTTACTGTGAGTGACCGAGTACCAAAAGCAGTATGCGTTGTATTGACGTACACGGTTCTGATTTCTCTTTCAAACGGCTCTCGGATGAAGAGGGTGTAGTTGATAATCTCGCCGTTTGCCCTCGCTGGAGAGTCCCAGTGCACCGCGATCTCAGGGGCATCCCCAGCGTGCAATTTTGGAGGCTCTAGCCCCGAGGGGGCTGAGGAGCTGGTGTGATCCTTGACAGGCGGGCTCAGGACACTTCCCCGGCTGTTAGTGGCAGTCACCGAGTAGCTGTGTTCCACGCCAGGAGTGAGGGTGAAATCGTGGTAGCGCGTTTCCAGCCCTGTATACACCATGGCACCGTCTCTCCGAAGCTCGTAACTTCTGATCTGGCCATGTGGGTTTCTCGGGGGTTTCCATGTAACTTCTATTGATTCTGAGCCTGTGACGTGCACTGTTGGGGGGTCCGTGTTCTCTGGCGGGGCCTCCATGGTCCGGGTAGATGCAGTTCCACTTGCCGTGCATCCTCCGTTTGTGCAGGCCACGAGGGAGAGGTTGTACTGAGTGAAAGGCTGCAGGTCGGAAACCAGCAAGGACAGGCCCTGCCCAGCCGGGTACTCCCGACCATCACCTCTAAGCGAATAGTTAGCAATCTTCCCATTTGGGATCGATGGCGGAGACCAAGACACGTTTATCTGGTGGGCACTGATGGCCCAAAGCACTGGAGGGCTGACTCCCGACGGAGGCGCCTCTGGGGTTGTGACGTTGTTGGGCTCGCTGGTGCAGCAGCCACCGCTCGTGCAGGCGAGGACGGCGTAGCTGTAAGTCGAAAACGGAAGCAGCTGGCTGTCGGTGTAGCTGAAGGTGCTGCCACTGAAACTGGGAGGACGGACCACACCATTCCTCTCCAGTCTATAGGACTGGATGATGCCATTAGGGTGTTGGGGTGGAAACCAGGAGATCAGCACTTGGGGGGGATCCGCAGACACACAGGATACCTGCGGCGGAGAGAGGCCTTCGGGGGGTGCTTGCCATGTCCTTACCATACTCCAAGAGCTACAGCTGTGGCCCGCAGAGTTCCACGCGCAGATTCTGTAGGCGTACAGCCTCCATGGCTGCAGACCCGTGTCATTATACGCCCACACCATGCCTTCCGTGTTGTACTCCGTGAAAACAGTGTTCTCATCTGCCTGCATCGTCTCATTCCCCCAACCCTCTCCCTCCAAGTCTCTCCGAATCACTTCATAACGGATTATCTTCCCATTTGGCTTAGCTGGCTGAGACCATTGCATTCTCGCGTTGGTGGGCTCCACCGCCTGGATGGTGGGAGCCGGCTGAGACTCTGGAGGGGCTTCCCCCGTCCAGAGAGGCTGGGGCGCTGAGTGAGCACAGCCTGCTGCTGTGCAGGCCTCCAGGGTCAGGGTGTAGAGAGTGAAGGGGGCCAGGCGCCTGAAGAGAAACTGTCGCCCCGGGCCGGAGTACTCCAGGAGCCCATCGCTGAAGATGTTGTATGCCTGCAGGATGAAGACACGAGGATGTGAGTAGCGTGAGGTCCTTGGCGCAGCTGCTTCGCCTCTGGAAAACATCCACAGGCTTCCCTGATTCCAGTGGTCCTAACCCATCGGCATTCGGATGCTGACTTCAGAAGTGGGGTGCGCCACGGTTAACGTAATGCCGACAGAAAACGTTTTAAAAGGTTGCATAAAAATCTAAGCACTGACCCAAACCTCCAGCTATGGAACGCTATGGCTCACACAGCTCCCATGAGGGTTGACCCGCAGGAAGAACATCCAGGTCCCCTATTCATACACATCTCATCCTCCCGATCACATCCTGACTAGGGCACGTGGGCTTTATCTGAACAATCTGTTCTTCCTTCGAACTTTCTGTGAAGTGGAATTATACTGCTAGCCACCCTTCTTATAGGATATGAGGGTTGAAAATGCGCAGCTACATCTGTATGTATGAGGCTGTGTGTAGGCTCACATCACCTTATACAAATGGATACCAGTATAGGCACCAGGACATATGTAATACAAGGACACACACTTACATAGTGTTAACGATAGCATGGGGGAGAGAAATGCTTTGTTTTCCCTTTGAAGTCACTGAAGAATTGATTGCCTATTTGGTGGTGTTTGCCTTTGGTCCAGGCAAGACCATCTGTGCTCATCACGCCTAGAGTCTTAACCTCTGTAGCAATCATTTGTAATTACACGGAGCTGACAAATAGTAGCTGGCTGGTCCATAAATCTCTATTAGGCAATTATCAAATGGTAACCCTATTTTTTCCCCTTTGTATTTGCTCTCTCATTGTCCAAAGTAATTATTTTATATCTTATCCTCTTCCCATTAACTGCCAACATGCTTTTCTCTCCTCCAGAGTTGGTCACTGACACCCCCCCCCCCCATTGAGAAGCAGATCAAGCTAGAAAGGTGGCTCTCATTTTACATGTTATTGCCCTTACATTCTTGTGAATCCTGTTGGTCTCTGACTTACAGTTTCTCGGCTTCCGGGTTTTAGCTACAGCCTGGTGAGAAGACATACCGAGACAGCCGTTTTCTTAACTTTCAGTTTGGTGTTCAACAAATTACTCAGCTAACATGTTATCAGGAAGCAGTCTTTGTAGGAGGTTATTTTGGTCCACTGTAGGCTAATTTAAGTGGTCAGAAAATACAGTGGGTGAAGCTATGATACTCTGAGGTTACTGTGTTTAGGATACATTTTCAGTTTAATAATGTTTTCAGCTAGTGATGGGTTTGTTTGGATGTAGTCCGGGGCAGGCTGGAGAGTATCTGTGGCAATCTTGGCTTCTGTCACCATGACTGAAGTACCTATGCCCAATTAAAGGCCGCTCAGGCCATCAATCCCTCTCCTTTCCTAAGGACTTCACGATTTTGCAATTATTCATGCCATCTCCTCCATCACCAGTTCCCCTCTCTGGCTCTTTCTATTAGTGTTTAAGCATGCTCTAGCATCTCATTGATTTCTCCATAAGGCTCACTACCTCAAACTCCTGGCTCCTGCCCATTTCTCCACTGTCCCCCTTCCTAAGCTTCTCCAGTGAGGCCCCATCTTCTTTCTTGGTCACCATCGTCTCCTTGAGCCATGCCACTCAGGGGTGCTTCTCCAGCGTGTGGTCTTCCTGCCAGGGCAGCAGTGACCTTGCCCAGTCCAGGCCGCTTCTCCACTGTCATGTCACTGGTCATCTCAGCAGCATCCAGCGTCTTCGCTCTTCACTCTTGGGGTGCCCTCCTCACTTAGCCTTCCCTCAACACCCTTTGTCTCATTTTATTCTCCTCTGGCTACTCTTCCTCTTCATGACCTCCTAATTCCTTGTGCCCTAGGGCTTGACTCCATGATCTTTTCCTCATCGCTAGCTACAGTTTCTCCATGGAAATTCTCTCTACCACCATGGCTGTCTGCTAACAGATTGCATATACATACCTCAGCAATGGCCTCTTGTGGAGTTCTGAACTTGGACCTCTGACTATCTGCTTACCCCTCAAGCCTGTTCCTTCTCCAACTTTCCCTTCCCAATTAGCTGACACCTCAAGGTCAGAGCCCAGACGCCAGTCTGGGGAGTCACCACTTTTCTTTCCTTCAGGCTGCATATGTGGGCCATTAATAGAAACACGCTTTCTACTCTCTACGTACATTTCTGACACCCCATATTTCCTGACTTCACGATTTCCACTCCGATTTGAACCATCTCATTTGAATTCTACCCCACACCCTCCAACAGGCTCTAAACTCCCCTCGTCTCTCATAGGTCATGAGTGTACAGCCAGAGTGTGAAATCCGATTGCGGTGTTCCTTTGCTTAGAGCCTTTGGTAGTGTTTCATTGAACCCTGAACAATCTCTCCTTGCTCCTTGTCACAGCCCACAAGGTTGGGCCCACCCTGGTGCCATCTTTTCCTCCTTCCCAGTACTTTATCCACACAAGCTTTCTTCTGTTTTCTTGAGTACACCAAGGTCATGCCTGCCTTCAGGCCTTGAATTTGCTGTTCATTTTGTCTGGAACATTTTGCCCCCATATCTTCACATGACTGCCTCTGTCTTGTCATTCAGGGCTCAGCTCAAATGTCAACTCAATTCAAATGATTATCCATTTTAAAATAGCCTGAGCAGGCATAATTACATGACTCTATTTAATTTTCTTTATAGCATTCATGGCTCTCTGAAATTCCCTTGCTTGTTTATTTACCAGCTTACTGTTTGTGCCTCTGTCCGTCTCTGATTCAACACTCTCCCCTGCATTTATTCATACCCATGCAGGAGCCTTGACAGCAGAGGCTTTTTCTGTCTTGTTCACTCTTGAATAAGTGCACAGCACTTAGTAGAAGCTCAATAAATATTTGGTGAAATGCAGATGAAGGAAAGGGAGTCAATATTCTGATTGTCAATCATGTTCAGGAGAAGCAGTCACTGGGAGGAGGAATAAACACAGAAAGAGCTTTGATGGGTGAAGGGGCAAGTTCTGTCACTGGGGAGGGCCTGAGAGCCAAGATTCAGGATTTAAGGTTGGGAATTTGGGTCTCTTGCCCTGGAGGGGAGTTGTCTGATGTCTGCTGGTGGGAAGTGGCTTGCTCCTGAGTGTCTGTTGTTGGCTGCAGGGTCTCCAGCTAGGCAGAGAGGCGGCCTAAGCAAAGGCTCAGGATTTGGAGCTGGTTCCAGAGAACCCTGGCTATAGCTGTTATCTCCTGTCTCATTCTTCTTCCGGGGCCCGGCGGAGTTGAAGTTTAGTCTCAGCTGTTTCATGTGAAATCGACACGGGCATCTCTGTGATCTGGGGAAAAGCGATAGGAGCCGGTAGTGGATGCAGCAGCTGGGACTCTGCCATCCTGTCCCATGGAAGGACCACAGTGGAAAAGCCAGAGGAGAGAACTGATGAGGGAGTGGCTGCCAACCTCAGGAGGAATGTCAACAAGATGAGGTAGGTCTACCTCATGTGGGTAAGCGTCCAATGTTTCAAAATGTGGGCAGTTTATGCAAATCCTGTCTCCCCCAGCTTGGCAAGGCCAGGCTTCCCATGCGACATTTTAAAGGCTGTATTTTCAGGGCTACATGTGGAGGTCGAGAGGTTAGTAGACAGGTGTGTCTTAGTGAATCTTAGCAGAGTGTGAATTAGGTAAGGCTCAAGGAAGTTCCTAAAATAAGGCAGCTCTGGGCACAGTGAGGTCAGGGCCATTCAGAGTTCGAGCTTTTGGGAGTCCTTGACTTCAAATCCTACCTCATCTTTGGCAATACTGCCTGAAGCATCTACTTAACCTGTATGAGCCTCATGAAGTTAGCGGGTCCTGCCTACTGAGGTTAATGTGTGGATTAAATGAGGTGATCTCGGCACACTGCTGGGCCCCCAGCAGCCCTCCTCCCCCAGCTACTCTGCCCTGATCTAGGATGAAGCGCCCAGAGGAGCCATCAAGGAGAATTAACCCAGCGGTGAAGCCGGCTTTCCCACAGAGATCTGATGGCACGTCAGGGTTCATCTGTCTATCCGGAGGGTGACCGGTATGACTTCCCATGCGGGGTGGCCTTTACCTCGATCACACCATTGGTTTTCACCGGCTCTGACCACTGCAGCAGCAAAGCTCGGCCGTTCTCTCTCTGCTCCGCTGTGAAGTTCTTCAGTCCACTTGGGGAAGATTCTAAAGTTGTAATCAGGGCCCAGGGGCTTGACACTTCTCCCGCCCTGTTCACAGCCACCACGCCGACTTGGTATGTCGTGAATGGTTCTAACCCAAAAAGATGGGCGTGATGGCTCGTTCCCTGGAAGAAAGTCTGCAGGTCAGGCATCGTTTAGAAGCTGATGGATGGTTCTTCCCTGAGCTGCACGGCCATGTCGGGACACATAGCAACAAGAGCATAGACGTACAGCAAAGGTTCCACCAGCCTGGAGAAGAGGGTAGCTGTTCTCTCTGCTTGCTCTTGTGGACATTCTGAACATAGCAATGAATGAACAGGTTCTCAACCTGGGGGTCATGACCCCTTTGGGAGTCTAACGAGCCCTTTCATAGGGGTCACCTATCAGATATCCTGTATATCGAATATTTACATTACGATTTAGAATCTTGGCAAAATTACAGTCATGAAGTGGCAACAAAGTATTGTTATGGCTGGGGATCACCACAACCTAAGTTGCTGTATTAAAGAGTCACAGCTTCGGAAGGCTGAGAACCACTGCAGTAATGTATGGTTTCAGAGAGGTGGAAAAGTTGAGTCGGATGGAGTCTTTGGATCTTCAGAGCTCAAAACCTACAGCTTGTGGCACCCATGATGAGAACTGAAGTTGGCGTAATGAATTATCGGTAGCCCCAAGTTGCATGCAAGCAACTGGAAGTGCTGTCAGGTTAATGGGAAGTCTTTGTGAGAACTGGTAGGGACAACCCTAACCCTCCAATCCACCCCCCTGCCTCCCAGCCTCTCTCTCTCACTGTCCTGGTGTGCATTTATATCTTACAAATTTGATAAGACAAACACAAGAAAACAGCAATGAGTTCATTGAACTATAAACGTACAAACACCCCTGGAGAAGTCCGCTATCAATGTAAATGTGGAATTATTCCTGTTTGTTAGAAGCAGCGTAACTAAAACCATGAAATGCGCCTGAAGTGATTGTTATCTAGGCCTGTGTTGATCTCAAAGAAAAAAGGGATAGCACAATTACTTTTTGTTTGTTTGTTTGTTTGTTTCTTGCTCACAGAGAGACATTTAACATATTTTGCATAACTTAACTGGAGCTAAGAACCTTAGCATTCTGAGAGGCCCTGGGGTGCTCTTGCCCATCTGGGCTGAACGGATATGTCTGTTTAGGGTAGGAATTATGCCTGCAACAGGGGGTAGCAACATATGCGCGCGCGCACGCACACACACACACACACACACACACACACACACACACACACACACAC